TGATCATAGGGTTAACAGATTATCAGACTGATAATAAATGGACAACCACTGATGATAATGAAAAGGGAATCATAAAAAAAAGCAATGTGTATCAACTACACACCAGATATGCCATGGCTAAATGGAGCGGATAAGTTACATATAGCTTAGTGTTTAGGGGTTAATGCAGGCACTGACTTTATGAAAAAGGTCATGACAAAAAGTAACAACACTGTGAATGGATAAAACTCAACTATAAATGGTAAGGAAGTAAGAAATGCGAGAGCTGAAGATGTGAAAAAGGCGGACACCAACAAAAAGGAGTGGAAAATAAAATAAATCAGGACATAACAAGGGAATCAATTGGAGAAATACCTCATAATGGATACTAATGGAAGAAATTCAAGAAGTAAAATAAGAGGATAAAATAAAAATAAATCACCGATTACCTTATACAAAAATATGTATGACTGATATGTCTCACTGTTCATGCATCTCTATCATATTCATTATGCCATACATATATACTGCTTCTACATAAACCTGCTCACAAAACCTGACACAAACCTACAGAGGACAAAGCCACACAACCTACCTGCAAAAGCACAAAACAAAAACACACACGAACAACCTCTTCACCAACACCTCCATCAGTGCACATCAACAACTAGGCATTTCCAGCCCCATACTCAAAGCTCCAACGGATTTAAGGACTTACAATGGTGACAGTGACAGGCTCTTCTAATGTGTTGTATTGCGGTGGCTCAGATTTCCCTGTGGTTGTCTCTTTGCCCTTCTGTTTTGTATAAATATGGCATATCAGTTCTCACTGACTTATTAGTGGATGGCCAGAAAAAAGGAAAGAAAAGAGGGAAAAGAACAAAAAACTTGAGAGGAGGAAGGGAAGAGGGAGGGAGGGAGGGGTGGGAGCTGATGTGGGAAAGGAAGAAAAAAGAGGGAGAGAGAAGGAGTGGGATGAGAAAAAAGGGAGAGGGAGGGGTTGAAAGCAAAAAAAAAAGAGAAAATTTAAGAGTAAAAGAGAGAAAGAGGAAGAGTAAAAGTAAAAGTGAGAAAGTAAGAGTGAAAGAGAGAGAGAGAGAGAGAGAGAGAGAGAGAGAGAGAGAGAGAGAGAGAGAGAGAGAGAGAGAGAGAGAGAGAGAGAGAGGAGAGAGAGAGAGAGAGGAGAGAGTGAGAGTGAGAGTGAGAGAGAGAGAGAGAGAGAGAGAGAGAGAGAGAGAGAGAGAGAGAGAGAGAGAGAGAGAGAGAGAGAGAGAGAGAGAGAGAGAGAGAGAGAGAGAGAGAAGAGAGAGAGAAGAGTGAGAGTGAGAGAGTGAGAGTGAGAGAGAGTGAGAGTGAGAGAGAGGGAGAGAGAGAGAGAGAGAGAGAGAGAGAGAGAGAGAGAGAGAGAGAGAGAAGAGAGAGAGAAGAGAGAGAGAGAGAGAGAGAGAGAGAGAGAGAGAGAGAGAGAGAGAGAGAGAGAGAGAGAGAGAGAAGAGAGAGAGAGAGAGAGAGAGAGAGAGAGAGAGAGAGAGAGAGAGAGAGAGAGAGAGAGAGAGAGAGAGAGAGAGAGAGAGAGAGAGACAGAGAGAGAGAGAGAGAGAGAGAGAGAGAGAGAGAGAGAGAGAGAGAGAGAGAGAGAGAGAGAGAGAGAGAGAGAGAAGAGAGAGAGAGAGAGAGAGAGCGACAGAGAGAGAGAGAGAGAGAGGAGGAGAGAGAGAGAGAGAAGAAGAGAGAAAGAGAGAGAAGAAAGAAAGAGAGAGAGAAGAGACGACAAGAGAGTAGAGAGACAGGACATGAGACGAGAGAGATACGGAGAGAGAGAGAGCCAACCGACACCGAAGAGAGAGAGACCCAGACCAGAGAGAGAGAAACAGACAGATCATTACAGGAAGAGAATGAGAGACAGACAGACAGAGAGAGAGGACAGACAACAGAGAGAGGAGGAGAGTAAGACAAGAAACGAATAACACAGAGAGAGAGAAGAGAGGAGTAGAAGATGTATAAGAGAGAGAGATAGAGAGAAAGAGAGTATATGTATGTTATGTATAGTATGTTTTAAGAGAGAGAGAGAGAAGTAGAGACGAGAGAGAGGATAGAGAGAACAGACAGACTAGACAGAGCTAAGACAGAGAGAGAGAAGAGAGAAGACGAGATGACAAGAGAAGGAGAGAATGAGAGACGAGAAATGAAGAAGAGAAGGGGTAGAGTAAGAGAAGTAAGAGAGAGAAGAAGTAGAGAGAGAGAAAGATCGAGATATAGATAGGGAGGAGAGCCAGAAATAATGAAGATGAGATATAAGGTCAAGCGAATAAATTGTAAAGAAGAGAGTAAAGAGACATGAGAGAGAGACAGTATCCCGAGATAAAACATTGAGGAAGAGACAGACTCGAGAAGAGAAGAGATGAGAGAAGAGAGAAAAAGAGAAGAGAAGAAGAGAGAGAGAGAGAAAAGAAAAAAGAGAAAAAAAAGAGAGAATATAAAGAAAGAGGAGGGATGATAATAGAAGAGGAGAGAAGAAAAGGGACAGGAAGAGAGAGAAGAGATGAGAAGAGAGAGACTAATCGAAAGAGAGTAAGGAGGAGAGAGAGAGCAGAAGAGTACAAGAAGAGAGTAGCGGAGAGAGAGAGAGCACAGACATCGAGAGAGCAGACAGTGAACATCAGTAACCACACGCAGGAAGAGACGAGAGAGAGAGAGAGAGAGAGAGAGAGAGAGAGAGAGAGAGAGAGCAGAGAGAGAGAGAGAGAGAGAGTGACGAGACGAGAGACCACGAGCCAGAGCACGAGAGACAGAGAGAGAGAAGAAGATCAGCCAGCAGAGAGAGATGAGAGACCAGAAACGAAAGTAGAGAAGAAGAGAAGCCAAGAGAGCAAGAGAGAGAAGAAGAAAGGAGGAGAGAGGTGATAAGACTAGAAGAGGAGAGACAGAGGAGAGAGAGAGCCAGAGACAACAAGAGACAGACAGAGAGACGGAGCAAAAGCACCGAGAGGAGAGGAGAGAGTAGAGAAAGAAGAGGAGAGAAGAAGATGCAGAGAGATAGAGAGAGAGAGAAGAGAAGATCGAGAGACAGAAGAGTAGCAGAGAAAGACCAGAGAGAGAGAGAGACAAAGAGAAAGAGAGAGAACAGCGACGAGAGAGAGAGCAAAACGGATAAGATGATGAGAGACCAGATGAGAGAGATGAGCACACCGGAAGAGAGAGGAGACAGAGAGAGAGAGAGAGAGCACAGAGAGAGAGAGTAGAGAGGACACGAGAGCAGCGCAGAGCTAGGATACGAAGGAGAGAGACGGAGAGACGAAGAAGAGAGCTAGAGAAGGAGAGAGCAAAGTAGACGAGAAGAGAGACAAAAGAGAGAGAGGAGAAGAGAGAGAAGAAGAGACGACCAACTCACCAAAGACGGGAGAGCAAGACAAGGAGAAGCACGCAGAAGAAGACAAGAGAGAGAGAAAGACACGAAGAGAGAGAGAGAGACCAAAGAGAGGAGAGAGACACGAGAGAGAGAGACAACCACAGACAAGAGAGAGAGAGAGACAGGAGAGAGGAGAGAAGAGAGAAGAGAAGCAGAGAGAGAGAGACAAGACGGACGAGACAGAGAGGAAACAGAGCACAGCAGAGCGAGAAGCAACAAAAAGCTCGACACAATGAACAAAGACACTCAACAAGAGAGAAGCGAGAGAAGAGAGAGAAGAGAAGAGAGCACAAAGAGTATCAGAGAGAGAGGGAGAGAGCAGAGACGAGAGAGAGAAGAAGATACAAGAGAAGAGAAGAGAGAAAGAGAACGAGGAGCAAGACAGAAGACAAGCAAGAGCAGAAAGAGTAAGAGAAGGAAAGACGGAAGAGGAATAGCGAAACAGACGGAGCACAGACGAAAGAAGAAAGAAGAGTAGACGAGACACAGACAGAGAGATATAGAGAACGAAGAGAGACGAGTACGAAAGAGAGCGCCACAGAAACAGAGAGAGCAAGCAAGAGCAACACAACGATAGTCTTGAATCGAGAGAGTACGGGACTCTGAAAGAATTAGATGACAGAAGAGAGGCAGACGCGAGAGAGGCAAATCTTTACCCATGTGAAAATGTCATAAAGGGAAGAATGAGGACGTGAAAGAGGAGGTGAGCGAGAAGAGAGAACCGGAGTAGAGAGAGCGAGAGAGAGAGAGAGAAGAGAGAGAAAAGAAGAGACTAGTAAAGGCACGAGGCGAGAGAGCGAGAGAGACGAGAGAGAGAGAGAGAGAGAGAGAGAGAGAGAGAGAGAGAGAGAGAGAGAGAGAGAGAGAGAGAAGAGAGAGAGAGAAAATGTCTGTTAAGTCTTTGGGCCAAACTCAAACTTTATCAGTCACAAGTCCTCAAATGTATCAGACCAACAGCTATTCTCTCTCAGGACAAACTTCATGTACCACTTTCTCTTCCCTTCTACGACATAGAAGAATTTCCACTAAACACACACATAAAAACACACACACACACACACAAAAAAAAAAAAAAAAAATCTACTGTTTCACGATTCAAAATCTATAAAGTCACCCTAAATCAGTGGTTCCCACCTGGGGGCCATAATCTGAGGATGTGTATGTATAAACCAAAGGAGTTTAGTGGGTAGACAGCCAATGGAGGGAACTTTCAGGTTCAGTACAGGTTTCTGTAATGACTGAGTGGAAAGGGTTTCAAGTTAAGGACACATGAACCTGGCACGGATGTTCAGAAGCAAATAGTCTGGGTGGAGGTGGGGTTGTGGCCAGAGAAGGCCATGGATGTGGCAGTTAACTTCCTATGATGGCATTTCACTTCAGAATTATAAAGTCATCATATTTGTCATATTCAAAGATCAGATCATATGGCATAGGATTAATGCACTAGTGGTATTTTGTTTTATTCTGTTTGTTGTTTGTTTATTGTTGGATCAGCTTTTTGCAATTATGCCATTTTTGTATTACTGTAAGTATGGTAATTATAAAAAAAAGCATTATGTTACTTTATTACCACTTCAATAATTACATGACATTTAGCAAATGTAAAAAATTAATTTCCTTATCAATGCCTAACAAATAACAAATGGAATCCACAAAATTACAGGATTTGCTAGCGTGATTTTCATATGGACTTAATGAGTGTACGACTAGAGACTGTCACTGAAGTCATGCATTGTGCTTGGCGGTGGGCTATGAACAAGGATCATGTATGAAAAGTGGGTAATGATGAGAAAAATTTGGGAACCACTGCTCTAGATGACATCAAACCACTCTTTTTACTAGCAACTTAACTATATATTATATAACCAAACTTTTCAGAGGCAATTTTCATGAGTTAATTTTAAAATGAGGCCTACAAGGAAGAATAGTAAAACTAAGGTAATGATCATTAGAACACAAAACAATAAAAGTAGGCATAAAAAATAAGCTAAAGGAAGTAAAGGATGTACATCCTATATTTTGGTACACTACGGCTGGCACCAAGCAATATGTACTGGTTTTCTCTCATTGTGATGTCTTTAGGTCTCCATGAAGATTCTGATCTGATTCCAGAACTGTCTCAGTTTGGTGTGACCTGAATAATAGTAGATAGAAGTCATACTTTAGTGCACTGATGTGCCACATATGCATCAGATGGCATAATGGCACATCTTTTAAGAGCGAAAGTCCATAGGCACCTCTGGCAGCCACTCTCAACAATCTTGTCCAAAGAGGTTGTTGCAAAACTAATCACCTGGAGTCTCTTTTGCTAGTGCACTTTTTTGTTAATAATATTCTTTCTAGCATATATGTACTTTGTTTCCTCAAATTATAATTTTTGAGTCTAA